ACATGTACATGTATGTACAGTGTATGTGAAAATTTTTACCATGTGAGTAGCTACAGTCTACTAATTATTGCAAAATAACAATTATTATAATTATCCTTTATGCATAGATGACATTGTAACCCCTTGCTTAATGTTTCACTAAATTTTTGTTGGTTTCTGACCACTTTCTTCAAAATTTAGAAAAAGGTGGACTGAGTGCACCAGAAATATTTCAGCAAAGCAAATTAAAGTATCACCAATCAGTAAAATTATAATACTAGTTGTGGCACTTTCAGTTAGTGACTTACCTTCGTGTCTATGCGGCTCTATGGTTACTTTTGCTCCACCTTTAAAACCACCCCGTCCACCCCCTGAACACAAAACACATAATACAAAAATGTAATATTCTTATAACAATGTATAATGACATCTACAGCATACTGTAATACTTTAACAGTGAGAAGCCTCTTTATTTCCCTAGTGTGACTTGAATACACTAAACACAGAGGGTTTCACCAAGTCTGAATACGAAAATAATAGCAGTATCTTCACCTGAGTTACAAAAATTACCTTTATCTGCATTATAGTGGGAGTGTGTTGTGAACAGTACATGTATGCTGAAGCAGATTGAATTTTAAAACAAAGACATTCAAACAAGTTTTGTTAAAAATGATTACCTCTCCACACTTTCAGTGTCGGAGAATAGCTACCGTGGAGAGAATACCATACATAATGGACATGTCCTTGCTATAAGGACTATCAAGGCTTTTAATATGGTGTCGAGAATGAAATAACAATGATATCTGACCTCTGCCTCCTCCTCTTCCTCCTCCACGTCCACCACCTCGAAATCCTCCTCTTCCTCCTCCACCACCTCTACCGCCACCACGGCCTCCAAAACCTCCTGAGTGGTTTACAGTTAGTAACATGATATTAATGTACATATTTAGATATCACTGATTCCCTTATACACATAATATTTACAAAATTCCTTACAAAGCAAGGCCAAGCGAAAAATTGAGGATTTTGTCGCCTCCCAAAAGGACAGGTAGAATCATTTGTAGAGTTCATGATTATATTTCTTCCTGGCAAGGGTATAAAAACAGATGAATGAGGTCGCACAACACGCATGATGTAGACAATGACGTCAGTGGGTTTTTGTGATATGGGACATGTTCAGCAAAAAAGTAACGGTATACAGGATATTAAAGGGGGGGGGGGGGGGAGAAGAAAATTAATGAGATATGGGATTTAAGTTCAGATAAAACAGCATAGGGTGTAGGAAATTGTTAGTTTTGCAATTGGAATTGATGGGATACGGGTTATGTAGGCCACAGATTAACAGGCTGTGGGATACTCAGACCACCCCCCTCCCCCTCCCCCCCCCGTGCCTACATAGCCTAACAGGTACAGAGTTTATCCATAATCAGGCATTATGTCAACCTGGAAGATAACTTTTCGTACCACCTGACCGCTGATGCTAGAGTGAGCTTAGGTGCTCACAGTTCTGTTTGCATCTAATCAACAGCTCAAGTTCTTTTCCAAATTAACGACAACAGACTGAAGATTTATGAGTCGACTTTACAAGCTTCATGAAGTTGTAAAGACAGTCATAAACGAGGTCTTTGTTAGCTTATTGTCTACTGTAACGTGCAATATCTAAGTTTTCATCGCTTGTACATCCAAACTAAGGATCATAAGAGTGATATTATCATTTATAATGTCGTGGATGAGGCTGAAAATTGAGAATCGAGATCGGATATATAAGCTTAATTACTGCAACGTGCAGTAAACAAGTAAAAGCAGCAAGGTATATTAATTTTGTGACGTTTACAAACCTCGACCTCCTCCTCCTCTACCGCCTCCTCCTCGGCCGCCACGCGGAGAAAAACCTGAAAACGTTGATTTTACTCAAATAAATTTAATCGCAGACAAATTGCAATAAAAAAAACCAAAGAAGAGAAGAAAATTTACCTGGTCTTCCCATCGTAAACTTTCAGTAACACAACTAACGCACGTGGTGTACACTACACTACTGCGCATGACCGAGTTTGCACTGCACCTTGGGTACTCTTTGCCGGTGAAGATCCAAAATGGCGCAGAAGTTGGTGAATTTTGGGCAGAAGATTGTGACTGCAACGCCTCGTTTGGCTACTAGAGTTTCGTTTCAAGCGCTTGGTAAGGGAATGTAGTACTATTTATTAGTTTTGTAGTGTGTTTACAACGTCCACCTCTGTTTTTGTGTCAGGCTTTGGAAGTAGGATGAACTTTGGTGATGATGAAATGCATGTTGACATCAAATATCCCACTCACTACTAACACTCGATTATGACTGCCTTTCCCGTGAAATCTTAAGTAGTGTCTTAATGCAACAGGTAACTAGGCATTAAAATCTTTTCAGAAAGAAAAAGATTAGTTATCTAGAGAGGCAAATATATGTAATCTGAAAAAGAAGCACTCTGCCGTAAGTTTGATTTCGCTGCCTTGAATTTCAACTTAATATTTCTTATATTTGTTATGGTTTTAAGGCAGTCAGTGTGGAATATTGTTATTACACGGGATTGTTGCTTCTGATTTACATGTAGCTGGATTGAGCATTTTTTTTCCTTTTTGAAACTAATAATCAAAATCACCTCATCAGAAAAACAGTTGTTTAAAACCAATATTTGACCAGTATTTGTCTGATGATCAAAGTCTTCTGTTCATTTTCTAAAATTTCGAGTTTGTGTAAGTACTTGTGAGTGTTGCTACAAGTCAGAAAAAAAGTCAGCATTTTCATAAAACTGTATACTTTCAAAAGCATCTGAAACAGGTTGTCTGGTGAGTGGAGGGAAGGGGGAGGGGGCTGGTGCAGTGTGGTCAGATGTTCCTACTTACCTACTTCTCTTAACCTTCCTTCTGATTCTGATTATCTAGTTATTGAAAATTTTGCTTTTCTCTACACTTTTCCATCTTAGGAATCCTGTCTTCCATCATTTCCTGATCTGCCTTCTGTAGCCTTCCTGCACTTATTTCTCCCAGTTTCTGACCCCCAGTCCCCTCCATGGCACTTAGGTAGTAACAGTATGCTTTACTCTCTGCATCTGGGAGCCTTACAGACCATCCATTATAGTCAAATATTGCATTGGGAGTGTTTCCGCCAGAGCGCGTCATTGCGGGAATACCGCATTGCAATCAGAGATAGCCCCCAGAAAAATGAAGAAAGGGCCAATTTGGCCCTTTCCTTTTACAAAAATACAGGCTTAACCCGGTGTATTATTTTAAAAGCCATCCCAGGGCTTGAAATTGCGACAGATACGGTCACCAATGTAACTAACACTTCATCCTTGGCGACCAAAATTCAGCAAAAATTCTGGTTTAGTCACCATAATGGTGACTACATTTCTATGTGTTGACGATCAATCCGGTTATTATGTCACACATTATGTCCTTCTAGAAAATCATATTGAAAGATCTTTGCTTCTAAAACATTCAACATAAGAAAACAAGTCACTCTATCCTTTTGTTCTGCTGTATTGATTATCTCACATCGGAAAACTTCCAAGTTTGAAATCGACCTATAATGCATTGCAAACCCTTGATCATTGACTACGTTATGTATGCCTAACGACTGTTCTCTTGTAATGCACGGATCATACTAGCATCTGATTCGAAAGAAATTTATTGAGTAGAAACACTTCAAAAAGCACTCACTATTAAATTTTATCCTAGTTTATAATAAACTGTTTTACTTTCCTTGGTACCCTGATGCATTTTTCCTTCAGTAGCTTTCAATTTATTGGTCCCTTTCCTAAAAAATTGGCCCCTAAAAAAAAGATCTTCTGGGGCCACTTTGGCCCTCAAGAAAAATTTTCTGGCTGAAACACTGCATTGGTATCCAATTGAATCTCTCCTTACAGATATCTACATGTACACAGTACAGACACATACTGTAGATATGTTACAGCCATTTCACTTGGTTGACCAGAGATCATATAATCTCTGGCTGCCTCTATATACAGACACCTCCATAATGCAGACATCTTTCTCTGGCCCTTTGTTTGTTGTCTGTATATATGCAGAGGTTTGACTGTACTTTCCATACACCAAAAACGTGTGATACAGGGCTCGAAAAAAGTGCCGTCCATTCGTCCAGGACAAGTAGATTTTCTTGCCAGGCAAGTAATTTTTCATTCTCACCCATGGGCAAGAGCCCAGGCAAGCCATTTGCCAACTAAATAAAAACAAAAATAAACTAAATCTTGCCCCAGGCAAGCAAAATTTGAGAGGTGCTAAAATTTGCAGGCTGGAATTCAAGTTTTTTACAAGCCCTGCCTATAGCTCAGCAATTTGAAAAGCAGTTGCTATATTTAGCATTGAAAACTCTTTTCATCCCAGGTGCCGCCAAGAAAGTCCAGCCACATGTTGTGACTTTCTGGAACAATGCCAAAGTTGAAATGCTTCCACCAAAGCTGTCAGAGTGGCCAGCCATCAAGAAGAGTTTCATTGGTCTGAAAGAGGCAGCCCTCAAGGGCAAGTTCCTTGATATCACAGTGAAGGAAGCTACAGTGAATACGCTGGTTGCTGTGGAGATTGCTTTCTGGTTTTATGTTGGAGAGGTCATAGGAAGAAGAAGTTTGATTGGTTACAATGTTTGAAGAACTTTCAAGATGTACTGATTGTTTCAATATTTCTTAACTGAGTGTGTCGCAAAGCCTTTTGATGTTTGTATAGGAAAAAATTGGATTTGGTTTCCTGGTCTCCTGACCAGGTAAATAAAGGGACTGGTTTGTCATTGGTTGCAGTAGTCTTTTGTTTTCTTGCTTGCCTCAGTTGACTAAAAATGTGTTTTAGCAAGATAATAAAAAACTTACATGTACATCTCGCAAAATAACCAGCACAGAGGTAAACAAACTTGGTATCGACCAGGTCATGAGACTAACATGAAATGAATACTGTGTTTTTTAACATCTTCAATACACTTGAAAGCCACATGTAATACTCTTGAACCAGTATGTTCATCACAGTATCAGCAGAGCTATTATTGAATGACATTTTAGATGATAGTAAGGATAGGATTATTAATGCCAAGGTTTGCATTGTCCGCTGAAGCCAAAGGCTGAGGTAAATACATTTAATAATCTCCCAAAAACCAAATACAATGCAATGATTTACTATGCATAAAGATATTTCCTTCACAGAATGGGGAATGGTTAAAATTCTTTCCTGCTGTTTCTACTGCAAAGCATGCATTCATGAAGCTATTATCCCTCACTGTTGTCAGTAGGATGATTGTAAACGTTTGTGTATTTTTTTAAAAAAGGATGACGTCAGCTGCATGCATAAGTACTTAGTAGTCCTACCTTGTGGTCCGTGGAAATTAAATCGAAATTGATATCCATGTGATTTAGCGGTACAGTTGTGCGTAACCATTGAGAGTTTACAAAGTAAGCAAAAAGGTAAGGTAAAGTCTGCATATGAGCAAAGTGGGCCATTAGGCCGGGGCTTATCCCGTGTTCTGTAGCATAAAGCGACTAGGAGTATTTCTACTCCCCCTTGGAAGGGATGCTTGTCCATCGCATGGTAACCCCCAGCATTAAATTCGCCGGTACCCATTTATTCACCTGGGTAGAGAGAGGTACTGTGAGAGTAAAGTCTTAAGTAAAAACCTTGTTCAGGGCTCGAACCCAGACTGTTCGATACGGAGACAAGCGCATTGACCATGAGGTCACCGCACCTTCACACAAGCAATTTCTAGTCTACTTTCATTTGTTACAGTGTGAGATGAGAAAATTTATTTTCCTGACTTCGGCAATATTTCACTCTTACTGCATGCAATGTCAATGCTTGTTCTTCATACACAGTGGTTAAAAATAATAGTGGGTGGTAAAGCCAGTGAAGTGAGACTAAGAGAGATTTTTAATTTTACCATAATTGACTAGTGGGAAGGGGTAAGAAGATTCGATTGCTGTAACTAAATGAGTAAAAATAATCCGGTTCCATTCTTTAATTTAGGGTGCTTACCATTTGTCAGAATGAACCGGTTGGGATGACCGTTGTATAATGGTAAGGGTTTTTCCAAAATCAGCAAACCAACCGAATGAGACGGCGCTTACCATTTGCAATGCGATTTCTCGTAATTGTTTTCGGCTGATGAGAGACTGGAAACTGGAAAGTTTACCAAATGGCAAGGAAATTTTCATCGTTCCGTTCCGAACTAGCTCTGGAGTCCACAATTTCGGAACGGATTTTCCGGAAAATTATTGTTCCATTTGACTTTCAACCGAAATTTCCGGATTTTTTTGCTAAATGGTAAGCACCCTTAGTGTCTCATTTGAAGCAGTAGAATATCTTGAGGTAGCTAGGCACATATTCCAAGAGGGTTTATCTTAAAACAGTCATCAAAGACCGGAGGAGTTTTACATTTGACATTTGAGATTTCTTGAGGGAATTTTGGCGAATTATTGCATTTTTAAACAAATGCACGATTTCTTTAAGCTTATTTTTTTTTTTTTTTTTTTTTTGTTAATAGACGTTTTCGGAACTTTGTTAAAATAATTTTAAATCTAGCCTATTTATACATTGACTTGAGTAATGGTTTGTATAATTCGAACAATTGTGTGCCTCCAGTACTTTGAAGTACTGCCTATTACAGTATTTGCCCTCGTACTATAAAGCCGAGCAGCTTTATATTTCTTTTATAAACGGAAAGTAACGTCATAGACTGTTGTGTCTCTTTCCGGACACGCGTTAGATATTCGTTTAATGTCCGCTCAGCCCAAGGGACGTATATATTTTCTGGTTTTATTTAGTTTCTGCTCTAGACCGTAAGAATTCCAAAATGGCCTCAGTTGAAACTGGCATTTACTCAGTTCGAAGTCTTCAGTTTCAAATGCACCAAATCTCTTCAAAGTATAACTAGATTTTCAAGTTACCGGGAGAGGCTACACAAATCCTCCGATATCTTCGGGGTCTTCCTTCTTTAAATTCGCTCCTATGAGACTTCCTGCATCGAAACCCTTTGACCAATGAGCCAGTCAAAATGGACTTCCTACTCTACAGTGCGTGCTTCTTATTTCTGTCGGATGCCAAAATTCTCTCAACGCCACAGGCTCCTCGTATTTTCGGAGTTTTAGCTGGCAAAATTAAGACAGTCCTGGGTGTGGCGTGGGTTTTGCGGTATCAAGCTTTGATCTTCCTCTTAGAGCATTGTCTCTTCGGTATTTCTTGAAGATGTTCTTGATCCAGGCCTTTGGACCGTCTGTGGAGAAAGATAATAAAATTTCAAATGGACTCGTCGTGCTGACGTCGAAAGCTTGAAAAACGTCTTAACTAGTTTTCTCACCAGGCACAGTTAATAAATGTTACAAAAGTAGTTAAAATGAGTTAGTAAAAAATTAAATTGTTAAATTCTCAGTAGAGATTATAACAGCATACCCCCGAATATGGAAGAATCAAAACCAATTCACATACCTCGTTTGATAGTTTTCTCTCTCCTCCACTGCTTGTCCCGTGTAGACTGGAAACAGAAGGTCTTTGAGGTTTGACGTAAATCGGACTGGAAAACAAACTTTCCAGCTGAGATTGAAAAAAAAAAGACAGACAAATTGTGAGTGTGTTTTCTTCAGAGTTCGACGAGTCTACGAGTCAATAGTTGAACCCATAAGTTGGTTTCTCTATACTAGACACAATGAGTCAACCCAGAACTTATACAACTAATTCGTGTGTTATCGATCTTGGTACATTTCTTTTCCGTCTTCTACAAAGCAGCAACGTGAAATGAACTAGTTCTGCGTATATTGGACAGACGCGAACCACGATGGTGCGATTTTCATACTTTTATTGAGAATCAACACTGTCCTTACCTACTTAGCTGGAAGATATATAGTTATATATCGTACTGATAGAGACCCTGAAGAGATTCCCATAATCCTAACTAAGAAATAGTATTACCTTGACATACAACTGAACCACACAGGTAGCTAGTCTCTTTGGACTCAAGAAAGTTGGTTTTAGCATCTCTAGTTTTAGGGATAGGTGATTTTCTATCATTCTTCCTGGGGAAAACGCGCCTGCTCTGAATTTTTCCAGCGTACTGTACCTCATTCAAAGAAGCTCCCTGATGCGTCCGTGAAGTTCGTCTAGGTTTTCTTTCGGACCCTCCTCCCGTTGAAGCAGAGGACTGGACACTAAGCTTCCGAGTTTCAGGATGGCTATGCCCGTGACCAGAGTGCGGTTTCTTTGCGGGTTTCGGCTGATCGTCAGATGGAGGGATCACGGGCTCGCTGTGAGATTTCTCTACCTTGTGATGTACCTGACCAAGTGACAAAATATGGCGATTAGTTTTCAATTGAAACAAACAAATAAATTAAAACCCAGAATATATAACCATGAAAGCTAGTCTTATAACTACAAAGGACAGAAACAAAAATAACTAAAGTAATAAAGTTAGGAAAATAACGAAAAGAAACAGGCGCCACTCATTTCCTTGTCGAAGAAAGGAACTGCCTTGGACCACGTTGAACACCCAACAGACGTAGCCCTCTGGCAGTTCGTCCTCTAGTTTTTACAAACTTTGAACACTGCTTGCACAGACCACTCTGTTATCTTACAACTGTGTCCGGTAACAATTTTGTGTTGTTGTAAATAAGAGCAGGGCCGTAGCCAGGAACGAGTTATGACTGAGGCAATGTTCATGGATAAATTCTCGTCCTTGGTATTTAGAGTGATTATGGTGACTATAAACAACAAAAACGAAAAACAAAAAAAATAACAGAAACAAAAAAAAAAAGAGGCAAGTGCCTCCGTTTGCTTGTTACTAGCTACTACCCTGAGAAGTACTTCTCTGATTGAAATGATGACTAACTTTTAAGTGTTCTGCCGGTGTAGGATGCTGGTTGTCACTGTCTCTGACTGACTTCTTGTTATAGTTCGATAAACTGGTCAGTGTCGCTGATTTACTAAGTCCTTCCACCTAAGACGAAAACCATAGAGAAGAGCATGAAATATGATTTGGTTTTAACTTTTTGCAAATCTGTAGCCTATGAAAGATGACATGTTCAAAAATGTCGTGAACATGAGACAATGAAAAAAAGCCGTGAGTCCTCGACGGGAATGAATTGCTTCCAGTTCCAGGAGAAGGATAAATTTTTGCGACAGGTTAGCACCAAAAGTAGTCTAAGGGATTCTGCAGGAGAAAAGTGTAGTCTGAATCAGCTTGAGGAATCTGAAAGTTGCCACACCGCTACAAAAGTAGAGTGGAACAAGGCATTAGCCGTTACATCTTGATCGGGATTTATTAGCTTGTTCTCTCGGCAAAAGACATCTGAAATTTGACCAATCTCGTTTCCAGGGCTTTTCCCAAATTTCAATGTAAGGGAAAGGCCCTAGGAGCGAGACAGAGATCTGAATCGAGAAATTCCGTACTGATGACGTAGCACTAAGCAGATCAATTTTAAGCGTCTTTTGATTGGTTGTTACCCGGTTATAAATTTCCCCGCTTGGTGACTGACCAATCAGAGACACTCTACGGATTTCTGCTAAGTTACGTCATTAGTTTAGAATTCTTCGTCTCCAGTCACGACCATCTGCTGCTGATTGCAGAATGAATTGAGCGCCTGGCGGGCTGTTCACCTCTTCTTTCGTCCTTTTGCTTGGAAGCTCAGGTGGTAGGCTCTTTCGTTTGGTCTGTTGCACGCTCATTTCAGGTACATATGGCTCTGGTGTCCCTGGCAGACTTGGATAAGCGTCATGGTCGGGTTTTTGCGGTGTGTTCTCCTTGTCTTTCTCCACTGGTTCTGATTCATTCCTTGATACTACTGCCACCTCAATCGGCTGGTGTTCACTTTTGGGTTCTGAGGACTGGGAACGAGATGAGCTTGCTTCCTGAAAAAAAGTGATATTACGTCCATGCAGGCATGTTACGATAAATATAAACAAGAACACGATAAATTTCATCAGTATTTAAAATTCATAAGGTAAGAGTAAATCAGCAACAACTGTATCGATACAAAAGTCAGTTCACGCACATACCGATACTTAATCATCTATTGTTTACTAATTACAAAACCTACTGCTAATGATTACGATACTTAATTTACTTTAAAATTCTACTGATCAGTGCCGGGTACAACTAGATAGGGTTTTCACCAGGGCTATAGTGCAAAACTGTTCGATTTGCTTCTCACCTGGAATCTGCTTTGGGCTCTTACTGATATCAAAGGAATGTTATCTGTTGCGGGATGGCTCTTGCTGCTGATCTTTCTGCGGGACCCCACCTTAAAAAGACCCATGAAAAGTCAGCTCTACCTACAAGGACAAGCTACGACAACTGACTAGCTCCAAAATGTTCAATTTAATTCTTTTAAGAAAGCTTGGACCAAGAGCCAGGAAGAGAATTGAAAACGCGATGCCGGAAGGAGTAATTTTGAACAGAAAGTGTCCGAAACCTACAATTTCTCTTCACATGCTTTACAGCATACTAATTTCTACTGTTCAAAAGTATATGCCACGTGGTCACGCGCGCGTGATGTTGATGGTTCACGTGATTGTCACATGCTTACCTGTGAGTCCTGTACGCGTGATGTTGATAGTTCACGTGACTGTCACATGCTTACCTGTGAGTCCTGTACGCGTGATTTTGATAGTTCACGTGATTGTCTCATGCCTACCTGTGGGTCCTGTACTTGAGGGTTGCCTCGCTTACTTCGTTCTCTATCAGTCAAACACCCATCCTCATGACTGCAGCGATGAACCCCTGATTGATAATATCCTTTTATCTGCACAAGATTTAACAAGGATACTTTTAGCGTGTGTACTATTACACTTCCATATGTATTAAGGGAGGAGACTAGGCTGAAACTGGATTAGATAAACATGTTTGACTTACGTCAATGTTCAGAACGCAGTGGAAAAAGAACAAGAAAATTCCCTGAAAAAAGGAGAGAAAAAAGCATTAACTTTCTAGTACAAATTATACTAGGAGCCCATAGACAACAAAACGAGTACAAGATTTAAGCACGAGATTTCAATTCAGTTACGTTGTTCTAAAAGCCCTCTCTCCACTCTGATACTAATTAGTTGAGCAAGCGACCATCAGTACGAGACCGGAGTGAAATGTGACAATACAAAACATAAACACTAGACTTAAAAAGTCACACTCGTAATCCCAACTGGAGGTCCCCACTTTATGTGGCAAGTAAAAACTTTTTGAAACCTCGCGGCATGTAAAACTGTTGGTTCTCGTTTGGTACAGGAAGCGACTCGGAAAATTGCTACTACCTCTGGATATGATGATAGTCCATCGCGGACTACTTCCCCACTTCATTCTTCCCCATCCCCCCTTCCAACGACCTCTTTAGTTACTTTACGGAAATGGACTCTCTACCAGAAACGATTCGTGTGACTTTCCCTTTATTCACCCAGGTGGGGAGAGAATCGTGAGGGATCATGGTCAGGCTCGAACCAGGACCTTCTGATTAATGTATACAGGACGATTCGCTTTATAAGATAAGTAAACTTGCTGAAATGATCATACGCCTGATACGACTTTAAGTATTGTTTACTGACCTGTAGTCCGTTAATAAGTCCAAACGAAAGTTGAAAACGGACATTTTTAACCTCTCTGAAAGAGAGGATACCAAAAATCCAGCCTAGGCAAAGACCAAGTAACATGAGACTGTTGGTACGGAGACCATACCTGAGAACAACAAGCGCATGAAAACGATTCTGGTTACCTCAGAGTTTACGACTGGCTCCTATGAAGTAAAGGATGGACGACGGTGTCCTAATTCTAGCAGAATGAAATTTGTCACATTTAAACGTAGTAGGATTTGTAGCTTCTAGAAATCCTCGGAGGCTCAGTTGTCGAGCGCTGATTAGAAACTAGCCAGTTATATAGCGATCACTGTTGTTTTAGTTTCTATCATGCTTCAGTTATCTTTTTGGTTACCTTTTAAAGTAACATATCAAACACGAGAGACAGTGTTTCATCGAGATATCCAAACACCAAGGAAGAGAGTTGAAAATACGACGCGCAGCAGAGTATTTTTGATGAAACACTGTCTTGGGTGTTTGATATATCTCCCCAATCGAAGCAAAAACTAGGGAGTAGACGGACAAATAAAATCGTCAAAATCTATACTAATTAAGACCTGGTATCCAAACCTCCTTCACAGTTGTGATTTTCTTCGTTTTAACTTGATAAATTATTAATAAGTTTGAGAAGAGTAAATCAAAATTTAACGCCTGGTTTTCACTAGCGACGCAAGCACAAACGCAAGCAATAGGGATGACCCAAGTGAAAACAAAATTCGACGCAAGCACAAGCACAAGCAAAATCATCGCTTTGGCCAGCAGGTAAACTTGCTGTATTCGCGAGCCTGCTTTATCCGAAAAGTGGATGTGTAAACAGTTTTGCTGGGTCAATCTAGGGAGGGCTCGGGGAGTTCGGTCCAACCCCCTAAATTAAAAAAAAAATGAGACATTATAGCATGCTGACTTGGCTTCAGAATGCCAGAAACCCCATATCCGAGGATCCAAATTTTTGAAACTTTTTCGGGGAGGATGCCCCTGGACACCCCTAAAGGGGACAATCCTCAGCGGTCCGTATGGCCGTATCTCGAACTCTCTTCTCTAACATCTTGTATCCACCCCAGTTTTGTTTTGTTACCTTGTACATCGTTTTTCCAGAACGGCCCTGGCACAAATATCGTACGACGGTTGTCTAAGTTGACGGAGAACAACACACAATACCATCAAGTTGAGCTGCAAGGAGAAAGAGCAAAGGTTCACAAAGTCAGATTTACACATCAGACTTACAGGCTCTTTCTCGGAGAGCTCACGTGAAGTGCAACTCAGTTGACAAGGATTCAGTAGAAAAGGCGACGGAACATTTGCACGGATTACAAAATGGTCTGCATGTCTGCATATCATGATAGAACAGGAAAATATATTACCGCGGCGACTAGAAGAGATGGAATAACGAATGTCCAGACAATGTGATCAGTAGGCCAACAGGAATAGAGAGCTAATCTGTGGGCAAAAACAAAAAAATAGGTTTGGTCCACGTTTGGCCCACCAATTTAAGCATTTTTACCAACTCTGTATATAGATAATATAAAATACAAAACTTCTTTTATAAAATGTCTCTGCAATAATGTTTGCACGTTTGGATTCTGGTTTCTTTTTATTGCGTTTTGCTTAGCAATTACAATTTAATTTTTGTGTTTCTCTGTTGTCGTGTTACGTTTAATTTAGCCATGTTCCTTTAATTTTACAGGAAAAGCAGGATCTTTTCTGCACGCTACTAAATCCTCAAACTAGGGCAATCGGCTGTGAGTTTTTTTCTCAGTGTTGCTTTTTCCAATGTTTATTTGCAAAAAACACCTTTGGATTTGATTGATTGATTGACTGATTGATTGATTGATTGATTGATTGATTGACTGATGTCAAAAATGGCCTACTTACGATGGTTTTGGTCCTTTACTTGCTCTAAAACCAATTGCCAGAGACATGGCTATTACGGTTACTGGAAATCCTGAAAAAACAATAAACACCGTCAATAATGGCGAGACGTCTGCGTGTTTCCCGCGCAAGATGCCAATCGCATTTTTCCCGCTCTTGGCGCCGTGTTACATGTTTTCCCGCGCTTAGCGCTGGTTACATGTTACCCAGCACTTGGCGTTTTGATTGGTCCATTGCTTAATTTCAGGTTTTTTCTGATTGGTTATTAATATAATTTGATAACAATCATTGGTTTATCACGAATCCGTGGAGGAACTGGATACTTACCCCAACCAAGTAAAAAATAGTAAACGTGTTTTCTCAGAGGATGCGAGCTGTTCGTGTGATTAAAATACAGGAATAAGCTGTCTACTAAACACCAGGAGAAACAAGATGTGATGAAATAATGAATAACAACAGACATCGCTTGGCATCCCTCCTGAAATAACAAAGGAAACAAAATTTCACTTGTGTTAATAAGTTTCAAACCAGCTACGTGGCCGGCTCAGTGCAGACATGAAAATAGGTGCAGAAATGGGGAAGCATATCTGACTTGCTAAACATAAAAATTAGAGAACCACGTCAAAAAAAAAAAAAAGATGTAGGAAAAGCCCGTCGGTAACTGTGAGAAAGGAAAAGCGTATTTGAACCATTTGCCAAAGAGAGTGAGGATAATTTAGCTCGAAACGAGAGAGATTCACTTTTGCCTTCGTCTGAGGGCCCAACCTTGGGGTTCCGGATTCGAGTCAATCCCCAATCTCCCAATTCCCCAGCTACGGAAATTATGTGACTCACAGATCGAGAAGAAAATGATGAAAGCCTGATCGTTAGATCCTCTAATAGTTTCATCGAAGAAGCTCGAGTATGTTTTTCTATCGTCCATGTTTTACCAGTCGACGAGTCCCAAAATTAGCACGGATCAGTGGAATCCATCCCTTTATTGTTGAATTGATACACCAAACTTGTATGATGCCGTCTTTTGACCACAACAACAACCATAATAGGCCATTTCCGATTTGTCTTTTGCCTCTGTGTCAAAACAAGTCTTCCCATTTATATGAAAATGTGTTGCCCTTACAGGCTCTGTTTTATGCGAATCAAACTCATTTTCATATGAAAGGTTTTGCTCAAGGATTCATTTTGAAACTGAGGGACATGGTAACTCGTAAATGGCCTATTGATTTCGTTTTTTCTTTATTATTCAAATTTTGAAGCCTCAGTGAAGTTTGAATTAAGGCTAAATTGTAGTCAGATGGCGCCATCGATGCAAATTGCTCATTGGCATCGCCATGTCTACACCGTCTTTTTGACTAAACACTAACCTTCTTTCTATACGCCGCTATACTGATTAGAAGAACAATTTGAGTGAGTCCCACGGCTAACGTCAGGTGCTGTTTGATCATAAAGGACTCTGTTCGAGGTCTACTGGTAAAAAGATCAACAATCAGTAAAACAGTTGAGAGAGACATAATGCAATGAGCTTGAGGATGCTATTGAGCAATATGGCTTTTAATGGACTGTTAATGTCGGGCCTTCTTTCGAGTTGGAAACATCGCGAACATTGGGGTCGTAGAAGCTTAACTGAAGTAGTTTTTATTATCGACTTGAAGTGAATCCCTTTTCGGAGCACGTACACCATAAAATTTCGGATTCAGAATAAGTTTAAGCCAGTGCTTAATATGCTCTTACCCAGCAGGCATAGGCATACGAGCTGGGGGGGGGGGGGTACTAGGGGGCTGCAGCCCCCCCAGCTACGGAAATTATGTGACTTTTCGGGCAAAACGCTAAATTATTCGGGCAACGACACTTAAGAGAAAACATTACAAAATAATGCTATTGGCGTGATTTCCAAAACTCTTAAATAAAGTTTCTAGTTAGTTACTTTAAATTTTTTTTAGAACTTTTTCTTTTAATAAGTTTTAGATTTTACTCGGATTGAGACTGTTGATAGATTGAGTATGCAAGCTTTCAATATAATTATTTTTGGAATTATAGCAGTTTCATTAGATGTGGGAATTGTGAACGTTTTTGTTTTTCATGCAATTTGAGTGCGTTTGCATCGCGATTTCAACAATCACGCATTCGGGAATTGCCTAAANCCCCCCCTTTCCCTCGCCAAGTCCGAAGGTGCCCGCACGCCTATGCCAGCAGGCAAAAAGCTGGCCAAATTAAAGATTGCGGCGGCGACAGAACAAGTACTTTGCGAAAGTCGATCCATTGTGTTGTTGCCGGCGAATTTTGCTGCTACGCGAAGTAACAAGCATTTCTGCCTGTTTCTCTTTTCCCAATAGTTAAACCTTAACGAGAAATGATTTTATGTTATTGCACTGAGCTAGGAAATGCACACCAGGAAGATTAAGAGGAAGCGAGCTACCAAAGTTCAGTTGCTAGCCTTCCCCCTTTTAATTTGGAGAAGCAGAAATTAAACTTAGGGTTAAAAAGGTTGTGAATATTATGGCAGAAATAAAGGCAAACACTCTAGACAGGTACCTCATTGTAATTATAAGTATTTTTTCTATCTAAAATAATCGTGGCATCGCTAGTATTTTTTGTGTAACAATTTTCAAATTCTCAAACTGCAACATTTTGGAGACATGTCTCATTGATCCTACAACCCCAAGGTATCGCCCATCCCACTCCCCCACTGAAAAATCCTCGATCCGTCCCTGACGCTGGGCCTAGGTGTTACCCAGCGACAGAAGAAATTCGTTATCATTGAGGCGGATCAATTTAAGAAGAAAGAACTGAAACAGCTGTCAAAACTCGCCGCCAGACATGAATATATATCTACAGATATAGATAGTCTGTTTATTTTTTCTATAACGATAATGAAATTCATATGAACCGATTCACAGCGTGCTGATTAACGAGAGAATTGAAGAAGAAACATTTACCTTCTCTAAAACTGGCGGTGATTTATTAACATGTGAAACGTAGTATCAAAAATAGCTCTGTGTGTGGAAAAACTGTTTACTACTTGAAGTACTTTAACGTTTCACTTCGTACTGCAAACACCTAAAATCTGGTTTCGTGTTTTTCGGTTACAATTCAACCGCATTTCTGCATGGAATATTTGGTTGATAAGCGCTTGGCAGTGTGTTGCAAATACAAAACTTAGTCTTAAATTGACTAGATGATGTGAATTTAATCCCTGGTTGAATTGATAACCAGTTGATTGTAGAACAATAAATGGATTATTCCGTGTTCATTGACAGGTGGCACACAGGGCAGAATAATACACGGCTTATATTAGTTTTTAACTAATAATTTTGGAAACTAGAAACCAACACCTGAGCGGATTTTAAAAGGTTACAGAAAGCACTGATTACAATTGAGTCAGGGAGCAATACAAGATGTAGTCATAAAAGAATTTTGGAACAATAGCTGGCTTTATAATCCATCCGTGTATTTCGCCGCAAATATTAATATTTTTGGCGGAATCACCTGCAGTTTTTAGTAGCAGAGAAAGCAGAGAATCGAAAGCGTACTGTGAAAAGGGTAATAAAAATTGCTATTGAAATTTTGTCTGCGGTCCACGTATCGTGAAGTTTGTCCTTGCGTGTGTTTCTCATCGTAAAATAGATTATTGAGTACTATAGCAACATTAGCTGAATGCCGGAAAACTTTGTTTTAGTATTCGTAAGCAAACCGTGAGGTTATCGTCAAAGACCACATTGATAAATCTCCCTACATCCGGTGAGCATTCTCGCAATTTTGGTTGATTATCCTCTTGAATGAATATTCCCAATTAGCTAAAATAGTAATGATAAATAAACAAGTTAGACTGAAAAGACTTTTGAATGCTAATTTAGGCCGGCCTTACCTTGTCCGGAACACCTCAGAAAGGTTTAAACTAACCGCTCAATGAATTATGAAAAACATTTTTCAATTGGAAATAAATTATTCTGCTTATTTTCCGCAAAGCCTCTAGCATTTTTCCAGGCACTAAAAAAACTGTCTGTCGCAAAAATTAAGCATTTCCTCTCTTTCAGCTCTAGCTATTCAAATAAACAGTTGCTGTTGTTGGCGAGACTAGAAGTTTGTGTTATTTGGTCAGTCGCCCTGAACTATCTAAGAAAACATAACAAAACATGAGCGGATATTAAAATATTGCTATCAAAGTATAACTGAGGAAGGCAATATACTCATCTTTATGAAGCAGTCAGTGTATGAAAATATTATTATGGTTATACAGCTAACCAACATGCGCTGTGAAATATCACTAACTCTTTCCAAAGAACCTATTAATTCCAGAAGATAAACTCCTCATTTTGCCTACATTGAATTGTAAAATGATTGATAAGAGAACATGCCACGAAAGAGCATCTCCAAATGGCTTCAGGCACTAGAAAGTAGAATAAATTTAAAACACATTGTGAAATCGCTCGAAAAGATTCTCTTTCGAATGCTGCTCAGTTGGACCGAAAGTAAGCTGAAACCATCATGTGTTCCTTCTTGTACTTTTGAACGGAAGCGTCGGAAACGAAAGTATTATTTACGCGAGGAAACTCTCTGCTCTGAGACAAAATAAAGGCGTCCGGTGAGGGCGAAGTTTTTATTTCGTGTAACTTTGATTCGTCAACTCATTGACAACAGTGATCATTTGCAAGTCAGTATTAGAATTGATAAGTTGCCGACTACTCCGGCGATGCCCGTTTTGACTGGTTATCTCAACCGTATTTATTCAGCGCACAGCAAGAATAAGACTAAACTTTGAAATTACAAGGTTTGCCGTCAAGATATTTGCAAATAAACAGTCTGTAGTAGCGGTAAGAAGCCCGCTTTTGTGAGTCCACTCCGGCGAAATATTGGCATAAACAACATGTTACAACGTTTGCTCTTGCAGAATTGTCGTTCGTTCACGCACACAGAAGTTCGAAGAAACACCCAGAAAATTTGGATCGCCTCGAAAAAAGGAAAATTTTGCGGTTTTCATCACATTCATAAATCTGTATTTGCGAACAAGCGAGTCTCTAACTTCGTCAATTAGAAATGCTTACCGCAAATTTCGGAATATTCAAAGTGCCATTTTGAACTGCCATAGCCTATCTGTCAGCATAATCGTATTTTTGGAGAGTGATCATGACTTTTGCCGCGTAAAAACTTTGCTAAACGGTGGTGTTCGAATACAAACTGACTGGTAAATACAAATTTTCATAGCAGGTCCTCAACTCGACGAGCCTCGCGCGCATACTCTGCCGCTTAGATTTACACGAGGCGGGCTAATCTAAAGAGTAAATTGGTACAAAGCAATATTTATCACCTGAAAAATATGAAAGCAACGATGGAAATGGTGCAGAAGAACAAAGATATTCCACATCCAACGATGGCAGTAGCGTCTAAACCAAACTCTCTTCTAGTAGCATCTTCCATCGTCATTTCATAGCGGTTAGCAAATCCTTGATGCGCCTTTAAAGGAGCTGGTTAGCCGTTCCACCAATCATGGGCTCTTTGAAAGCGAATCGGAACCAGGAAACAAGCTTCGTAGCAGTACTTTAACAGCAAAGCTTCACATTTGCCATTTCTTGAAGAATCTCCGGTTGGAATATTAATCAGTCAAATCATTGCTGGCACATTTTATGCTCGCGTTAATATTAAACTAGCAACAGCAACGAATTTCGATTGCTGTGAGTTGTTTTCAAATAGGAACGGAAATGCACAAAGGCACCCGAACGGCGAACTGAAATAAAGCCGCGTTGTCTGTCGCAGTAGATGACAAATTTGATTTTGTACAGTTTACGTCGATAAAGTGTTCATCCTTCAATGTAAAGCGAAGTCTATGTTTTTGTAATGTTCTCTTTCAATTGGCTCGTGTTCAGCGAACACGTCACGTGACTAAACAGGTGCTTTAAAAGACGTTTTAGTCTGTTTTCCGACAATAGCAGGGACGCTTAAATTATTTCATCGCCAAAACAGTTGAACGCAAAATTTGCAAATGCAGACAATATTCAACATTTAATTTCTCGTGACTTTAATGATTGAAATATAATAGCTTGGACACAGAAGCAATATTTTCTGTTTGTCGATCTAACCGAAGATTGTTCAAGCTTGTTGCCGACTGCAAATATCTACCACGAAAAACACGAAACATTTGTAAGATGAAATGAAAAACGTAAAGAACTTTCCAGCAGTCTGTCCGTAAACATAACTGTCAGTTGATCTTTTGTCCTCGAAACCCTGTTTCTAAGGTAATGGACTATATATACCAGAAACTTTCCAGTATTGATTAATTAAAGTTGCTAAAATTGTCAACGCCACGAATCTTAGCATGCGACAGTTTACCGGAAAATAGTACTTCACCGAGTAATTTGCTGTCTTAAAGCACTTTCTATTCGTAAACATTAGGCACAGATACTCCATTTAAAGTTTAAAAGAGTCGCTGGAATCAAGAACAAATTGACACAACATCAGGAAAATACTGCAAACGGAAATAGATCGTTGAGAGATTCTTTCAGACTTTCTATTAGATTTACAACAAAAGCGCATTCGATTTATTTAAAGATGTCACTTTTTCAGTCGTGCGATTTCTTTTTGTATATTTTTCAGTCCTTGCGCTTCGGAGGCGTGATTTACTACGTATAGTTTGGAGTCTCGAAAAACAAATTTGAATTAAAACTTGGGATCTTGAGAGATTGTCGTCCATATGTTTCATAGAAGCAATTTTGAGAAGTTGCCACGGGTCAAACACAGTGCACAATGATCAAGCCAAGACAGCTAGAATTTCCTCAATAAAGACCTTTGACAGACCTCCATTATTAACTCAGCTTCAATTCAAAACAAAAATTAAGCAATTCTGCATTTACTCAATCATGCTGACTGTGGCAGCTTTGGACGCACTAAGGAGATCGCTTATTTTTCAACGTACTCCAAAACCCGAACAAATTAGCACGAAACCGCGTAAAAATATCGAAGGTCTGCCTTAAAAATATTCTCTGGCTAAAAGGTAATGACACTCTGCAAGCTTTCAATTGTCCGAAATACAGTTTTCAACATATGAAATAACAAAAATGTTGTGAGAACGGTTAACCCACTCTTGCGAAGAGGTGAGCTTCGAAGCACTTCCGCCAGTTTGCACCAGCTTCTACTGCTACTACAACTATACTTCTTCTTGCTCACTTTACTGATTCTACTGATTGTATTGATTAATGCAAGCTCGACGGTTCCCAACTAAATACTTAAATTGCAGACATGTTTGGGTTTACTGACCTTGGGAACTAAAAAGACCTCCCTGGCGTAACTTGGACAAAAACAAAACACACCAACTGAACGAAAACAAATAAGTCATAATGAACCAATGAAAGCGATGGCATGAGAAAGATAATTCTTCGTGGAGGTTTCACCCAAGGGAAGCAAGACTGCCCAAACATTGACTATTGTGAGACCAATTGTTAAAAGTTAGAGAGGCTACAGTAAATAAAACAAACAGCAAAACTAACTGGACAAGGGAAAGATGTGTGTGGCCTGACATTGACTGTTGGTCAGCCAAGGACGATCACGTTAACTGAAGTAAAGACCAAATTGAGCTTCTCAACAAAAATATCTAAACAGCAGACGACATAAAGAATACAACAGAACACGATTTTGAAAACCAACTAGAATGCTCGATTGTCTCAGTACTGGACGTGGTGCGGATCATGCATGGCACAGTTCTAGTGCCTCTGGCTGCTGTTTAACAAATTCTTGCGTATTCAGTAAGTCAAACCTACAATCTGCTTACGATTGAAGCCTACGATTGAAGCCTACGACAAATTTGTAACATGCCGGGGTGGGGA